AAAAACTTGACTATTACTTTGACAATCTTTCTGACTACTTACATGGCCAGTCCTACATCAGTAAACTAAGATAACTGTATCAGTTTGTAAATAATCCGACTTCCTTGTGACCCTAGGATCACTAGATTGGTCTATGAACTTTGATTAATCAGATTTTGAAGTCAATAAAATTGGAGAGCAAATATCTATTCAGACTGTTCCCCTTCCAGGTTTGTTGTGTTGTTGTTTTTTAAGGAGGGGGATCATTTAGACTTTTTATCAAGAAATTCCCAGACTGTACTCAGGCTACATGAATCTTCAATGAATTTCCTAGGCTAGACGGGAGGAAAGGGTGATTCGACATGGAACAAAGATTTCAAACATGGAACAAAGATACTCAGTCAGTATTACATAATACTAATTTTGGAATTTCACCTTGCATGGATAGACAGTTAAATTTATTCCCTCTTAAAAAAAACCTAAGAATTGTTTTAAAAGTTGTTAAAAGGTTATGGGTACGGAAAGTTAAGATCTGAGCTAAAAGAAGAAATCACTATAGACTGGTAAGACAGATAATAGGAATTCAGTGACTGCCGGATTCTCCTGTTTTATCTATTTCCTAACACAAACACATTGTTATGATTGGCATCTTCAAAAATGAAGTAACCAGACCTACAGGACTAATTTCTAAGAAATTCCAGTGAAGATGAGATCTGCTTATATACAGTCAGAGTATTAAGGTCCAAAAGTACGAGAGAAACTACATAAAGCAATTTTCCTTCCACTAAAACAACTTGTATTGATGTAAGAGTTCAATCTTTTAAACTCTGCAATTCAAGCAGGAAGAGAAGCCACAGTTAATACAAAATTTAGAAGACATAATTATTGAACAATACAAAAAAGTATTTAATAAGTCACTGGCACATCATTTGCCAAGTACAGCTTCAGCAGCAAGGGGGTCAACAACAGTTTCTATAATAAGAAAGCCTGCACTCTCTTTCAAAGGAGAAGGAGTCACTTTACCTAGCTAAGTGAAAGTACAGAGCTTAAATGCGCATGTTCAGGATAACTTAATGCAGATCAACATGTTAATTCTATTTTGATCATACAATCATGATGGTTATTGTGATGAAATGAGAAAAACTGCATTTCCCCACAATTACAAAACATACCTACAACCAAGAGGCAATTGTAACCCGTGTAGGCAGCAGTGAATACTGTCACGTAAGTCCTAAAAAGAAATCAGTGGGCAGAAGGGGCATACAGGTATATGTACCCAAATTCCTTGATCCCGAATAGCCTTAACAGAAGCATACAGGATTTTCTGGGATACACTGTTTAAGGATTGCTACTAACATCAATGCAGACTGGAGTTCACCTCTGACAGACAAAATTTGTATCATCGTTACACCACAGAAATCTATCCAGCCAAGTTTTTATGCAGCTAAATGTGTAATAGCATACAGACTTAGCAGCAGTAGCTAATAATTCCTGGAGCTAGTAAAAAAACCAAGATGGTCCATTATGGGGGAGACATGCCCTTAACCTCTGGAACTATCTTTTAATGATATTAGTAACCACCCATTGCCCTAATAAGATCTGCAGATTCTAAATACTTTCTTGCTTGGGGTCTAGAACATATTTGTAATACGAGTTCTGCAAGCTATAGGCACAAGTGCAGATTTACATTTAAAGCCTCAGGCCATTATTATAAACAAGACACTGGGCTAATTGAACAACTGGACAGATCTTCTGTATTTCCTGTGTTTCTGTTAAAGGTTGTCCTCAGGCTCAAAATGAATCCATATTCAAGTTCACATTCAAAGCAGGGCGAACTGCAAACCACTGAACCATCATGTTTCCCATATCAATTTTCAAAGCATTCTAAAACATTTCTCAAAACTGTCAAAACATAAGAACGGCCCTGCAAAGGAAATCCAGTACTCTGAATACATGAACAGCTACTTAGTTTTTAAACTGTCAGCAACAAAATGAAAAATGGAACTACTGAAAGAGAAGCTGTGTGCATGATCTGTTCAAACATTTGAGACCTTGTCTCTTGAAAGAAAATACATGGATCCCACATAGCATAGCTCATGATTACTGCAATATCAAAGCCTGTGGTTCCATAGACTTACAGCTCTCACTACCGTCACTGCAGTTCTCAGGGCCTATCCTCCTACATGCTACTGCACCCTACGGTGCCTCTATATAGCTTCAATACGCCTCTAAATTTCATTTTTTCTTTCCAGAGATTTCCTTAACTCTGTCTCTCTTTCCCACAGTTGTTCTCCCAAACCACTGCTGGATACTCAACTGGGTCCAGAAGCGGCTGTTTTGAAGAACAATAGGACCAAAAAGAACATGGGTAAAACAAGGCATGCGTCTGCCCCTCTTGCCTGACATCTCCCAGCATGAACACCATTCCTCATTCTGCTGTCAGCAGCTGATGCTTAAATTGTCACAAAACAGTAAGCGAGTCTTACAGGCCAACATAAATAGGAAAATACAGTAATGCTGACATCAACTCACCCTTATTTCAAATCTACACCATGATTTTCTGTTGCTGTTTAGCCACTGGCTACAAGGAATTCAGCTCCCAGTTCCTGCCCCCAAGATCCCACTTTTGACAATTTGTATTTCATATACAATATTAATATTTTGAGCTGCAAATTAGATTGGAACAGTGAATTTTAAGATCCAGCTATTCTTAAGCTTTAATACTGACTTGTAAGTTCCAACTATCCTTAAGCGTATTTAGACGAAGACTAAGTT